TAAAATAATAAAGTGCCTGTAATGTACTTGTCAACATTTATACTTACAGCACAATTCTGAAAACAAACAACGAAAAATAAATATAAAATATTTACTTAAAAAAACAAATGAGGAATCAATCTTTGTAAAATGTTTTCATCATCATTATAGTGAGTAGGAGAATTATGAGTTTATCGTAAAGTTTGTAACCTACAAAAATAATATTGATGCATACACTTTTAATTTCTTTGATAAATTCTTTTAATAAAGAACAATTTTGATACATTTTTCATTTCGAGAATGCTTTTTTAAGTTCTGTGAAATTTTAAATTGTTAACGTCATTGCAGATCATTAATAGATCCGATAACGTAATTACACTATTACTATCTATGTATTTATATGTAATTGCTACATTTAGTTTGCAGGTGGCAAAAAGTATTTATTACAATATTGCAAAAAAAATTAAGTTAATTTTAAAATAAAAATTTTTCAGAAAAATAAAAATAAAGTGATATGATATGGGGTTTTTTCTATTTGAATTTAATTTTTTTGATGATGCAAAAATGATTATAAGTTTTTGTTTGTTGCAATAAATTAATGACTTTCTCAAATGCTCTAGAGCTCGTTCTATAATATTAATATCTACACAGAGAACACTGATTCCTTGTCACGACCGAATTTGTTGGCCATAGAATTTTGTTGCTCACCAATCAGGGGGATCCCCATCCATCAGACTACCCAGGTCATTAAACATGGGCTTGTCCTATGACGATTCAATCGTCACACTATTCCCTACAAAGAGACAATCAAATGCTAGTCAATGGATGACATTATCGAAATGTTCAATTGACTAGACTATAGACTAGACTATAGACTAGACTATAGACTAGACTATAGACTAGACAATAGACTAGACTATAGACTAGACTATAGACTAGACAATAGACTAGACTATAGACTAGACTATAGACTAGACAATAGACTAGACTATAGACTAGACTATAGACTAGACTATAGACTAGACTATAGACTAGACTATAGACTAGACTATAGACTAGACTATAGACTAGACAATAGACTAGACTATAGACTAGACTATAGACTAGACAATAGACTAGACTATAGACTAGACTATAGACAGACTATAGACTAGACTATAGACTAGACTATAGACTAGACTATAGACTAGACTATAGACTAGACTATAGACTAGACTATAGACTAGACTATAGACTAGACTATAGACTAGACTATAGACTAGACTATAGACTAGACTATAGACTAGACTATAGACTAGACTATAGACTAGACTATAGACTAGACTATAGACTAGACTATAGACTAGACTATAGACTAGACTATAGACTAGACTATAGACTAGACTATAGACTAGACTATAGACTAGACTATAGACTAGACTATAGACTAGACTATAGACTAGACTATAGACTAGACTATAGACTAGACTATAGACTAGACTATAGACTAGACTATAGACTAGACTATAGACTAGACTATAGACTAGACTATAGACTAGACTATAGACTAGACTATAGACTAGACTATAGACTAGACTATAGACTAGACTATAGACTAGACTATAGACTAGACTATAGACTAGACTATAGACTACAGACTAGACTATAGACTAGACTATAGACTAGACTATAGACTAGACTATAGACTAGACTATAGACTAGACTATAGACTAGACTATAGACTACAGACTAGACTATAGACTAGACTATAGACTAGACTATAGACTAGACTATAGACTAGACTATAGACTAGACTATAGACTAGACTATAGACTAGACTATAGACTAGACTATAGACTAGACTATAGACTAGACTATAGACTAGACTATAGACTAGACTATAGACTAGACTATAGACTAGACTATAGACTAGACTATAGACTAGACTATAGACTAGACTATAGACTAGACTATAGACTAGACTATAGACTAGACTATAGACTAGACTATAGACTAGACTATAGACTAGACTATAGACTAGACTATAGACTAGACTATAGACTAGACTATAGACTAGACTATAGACTAGACTATAGACTAGACTATAGACTAGACTATAGACTATACTATAGACTAGACTATAGACTAGAATATAGACTAGACTATAGACTAGACTATAGACTAGACTATAGACTATACTACAGAGTAGACTATAGACTAGACTATAGACTAGACTATAGACTAGACTATAGACTAGACTATAGACTAGACTATAGACTAGACTATAGACTAGACTATAGACTAGACTATAGACTAGACTATAGACTAGACTATAGACTAGACTATAGACTAGACTATAGACTAGACTATAGACTAGACTATAGACTAGACTATAGACTAGACTATAGACTAGACTATAGACTAGACTATAGACTAGACTATAGACTAGACTATAGACTAGACTATAGACTAGACTGTAGACTAGACTATAGACTAGACTATAGACTAGACTATAGACTAGACTGTAGACTAGACTATAGACTAGACTATAGACTAGACTATAGACTAGACTATAGACTAGACTATAGACTAGACTGTAGACTAGACTATAGACTAGACTATAGACTAGATTATAGACTAGACTATAGACTAGACTATAGACTAGATTATAGACTAGACTATAGACTAGACTATAGACTAGATTATAGACTAGACTATAGACTAGACTATAGACTAGACTATAGACTAGACTATAGACTAGACTATAGACTAGACTATAGACTAGACTATAGACTAGACTATAGACTAGACTATAGACTAGACTATAGACTAGACTATAGACTAGACTATAGACTAGACTATAGACTAGACTATAGACTAGACTATAGACTAGACTATAGACTAGACTATAGACTAGACTATAGACTAGACTATAGACTAGACTATAGAACTAGACTATAGACTAGACTATAGACTAGACTATAGACTAGACTATAGACTAGACTATAGACTAGACTATAGACTAGACTATAGATGAGACTATAGGACTAGACTATAGACTAGACTATAGACTAGACCTAGAGACTAGACTATAGACTAGACTATAGACTAGACTATAGACTAGACTATAGACTAGACTATAGACTAGACTATAGACTAGACATAGACTAGACTATAGACTAGACTATAGACTAGACTATAGACTAGACTATAGACTAGACTATAGACTAGACTATAGACTAGACTATAGACTAGACTATAGACTAGACTAAGACTAGACTATAGACTAGACTATAGACTAGGACTATAGACTAGACTATAGACTAGACTATAGACTAGGACTATAGACTAGACTATAGACTAGACTATAGACTAGACTATAGACTAGACGGTAGACTAGAATATAGACTAGACTATAGACTAGACTATAGACTAGACTATAGACTAGACTATAGACTAGACTATAGACTAGACTGTAGACTAGACTATAGACTAGACTATAGACTAGACTATAGACTAGACTATAGACTAGACTATAGACTAGACTATAGACTAGACTATAGACTAGACTATAGACTAGACTATAGACTAGACTATAGACTAGACTATAGACTAGATTATAGACTAGACTATAGACTAGACTATAGACTAGACTATAGACTAGACTATAGACTAGACTATAGACTAGACTATAGACTAGACTATAGACTAGACTATAGACTAGACTATAGACTAGACTATAGACTAGACTATAGACTAGACTATAGACTAGACTATAGACTAGACTATAGACTAGACTATAGACTAGACTATAGACTAGACTATAGACTAGACTATAGACTAGACTATAGACTAGACTATAGACTAGACTATAGACTAGACTATAGACTAGACTATAGACTAGACTATAGACTAGACTATAGACTAGACTATAGACTAGACTATAGACTAGACTATAGACTAGACTATAGACTAGACTATAGACTAGACTATAGACTAGACTATAGACTAGACTATAGACTAGACTATAGACTAGACTATAGACTAGACTATAGACTAGACTATAGACTAGACTATAGACTAGACTATAGACTAGACTATAGACTAGACTATAGACTAGACTATAGACTAGACTATAGACTAGACTATAGACTAGACTATAGACTAGACTATAGACTAGACTATAGACTAGACTATAGACTAGACTATAGACTAGACTATAGACTAGACTATAGACTAGACTATAGACTAGACTATAGACTAGACTATAGACTAGACTATAGACTAGACTATAGACTAGACTATAGACTAGACTATAGACTAGACTATAGACTAGACTATAGACTAGACTATAGACTAGACTATAGACTAGACTATAGACTAGACTATAGACTAGACTATAGACTAGACTATAGACTAGACTATAGACTAGACTATAGACTAGACTATAGACTAGACTATAGACTAGACTAGACTAGACTATAGACTAGACTATAGACTAGACTATAGACTAGACTATAGACTAGACTATAGACTAGACTATAGACTAGACTATAGACTAGACTATAGACTAGACTATAGACTAGACTATAGACTAGACTATAGACTAGACTATAGACTAGACTATAGACTAGACTATAGACTAGGCTATGGACTAGACTATGGACTAAACTATGGACTAGACGATAGACTATACCATGGACTAGACTATTGACTAGACGATAGACTATACCATGGACTAGACTATTGACTAGACTATAGACTAGATATATCGAAAATATAGTAAACCACATTTTAGATATACTCATAACTGGTGTAGATTTTAATATAGTCTGCCATACCTGACTGTATATTCTTGCTTGTTTTATTTCCCTAGTTTTAAGATATTGACTAAAGAAGCTATAAAACTAAAGTCGATTATATCTCGTTAAATATTTGGAATGAATATGTATACAAACTACATAACCTTTATTTCTTTTATTTGCTTTATTTAAATATTTGTCTTTAATTTATTACTTCTTTTTTTCCTTTTTTCTATACAGTGAATTAAATGAATTGCGTAAACCCACATCAGACAATCCCGATATATTGCGTTTCTTTAAGTATATGCGTGCTGCCAAGGATGGACAGGATGGCGTTGATTGTGAAAAAACATTTGATAAATGTACTGAATTTAAAGATTTCGAAAATCCAGCAATGGTCTCCACTTATCATGATATTAACAAATTGGTACAAGCGAGAAAATTGACAAACAAATAGAATACAATCTAGCGAGAAAAAAATGATGATGTTTGTAATAAAAAAGGAAGCTTTAACAAAATATTAGAATAATATATGTAGTGAGAACGAAAATGAATGAAATATTTGGCAAATACTTATATTTCAACTTGTAGAAATTTTTGATTGATGGATGATATGAAATTTATTTATTTATTCATATTTTAATATTTATCTTTTTTTCGTATAGCGAAAAGTAACAACGACAAAATAACAGCCATAGTTTCGTATAGATTGTGTTTTATTAGTTTTATTTATTATTTATTTAATATTTTATTTATTTATTTATTTTATCTATCTATTTATTTATCTATCTATTTTTATATTTATTTATTTTTTTCTAATATGTTTATGTCTAATTTTAGAGTGATTTAAAAGTTGATTTAATTCTTTGAAGAAAAAGATGTATTAAACACAATTAAATTTTTACATTAAAACATGTCTGGTCTTAACCCATTAATACCCACGGCGATCTACGTAAGGTAGAAATGTGAAATTTGGATATGACAGTTTACTTGTATATATAAACCGATTTCAATTAAAAAAATTTTTCTATCTTGCCTTGTTTGGATTTTAGAAGACGTTACGTATACGTAACAGTGGGCATTACCCACGAATTTTTGTCCCTTAAGTATTTTAAGTAAAAGTTACATCATTTTACAAAAAAATCGTAAAAAACTGATTAATTATTAAGTTTTAAGCTTGGATTAGCTAATTTGGTGCATCATACAAAATTGTTTCATATAAAATAAAAAATAATTTAAAAGTATAAAATTTTAATCCGTGGAATTTTGTAATTCATGTAATGTCAATTCATGAATTTAAAGAAATTTGTATATTTTCTTGGAGAATCAGATATATTGACTAACACTACACATTTTGCGTACATTTACCAAAGGTCCTTGGCGCTAGAATCCTTGCAATTTCCCTTATAATTCAAGAAAATGGTCATCATTTTCATCCCATGCTTAATTTTTGAAGGTTAATTGCAATTATATTCCGATTTTCTAGTAAAAATATATTTTTAAGATTCACCAACTGTGCCTTGAACAAGTTTTAATGCGGTCAAATGGCATATCCTTTACAGAAATCCTTAAAAAATTTAAAATATCTACGAAAGGAAGATTTAATATAAACATTTACATTAAAAATATATTGCTTGTCATCAAATATCAATATTTCAAGAAAATATATTGTTTTTTATTACGTTAAAAACCCATTCCTCTGATAAAAAATATTTTTCGGGCAGATTTCATAAAAAAGTAAGCAAGTTGTTCATTATTTATATCGTATGTAGAGGGGGACAAAAAGTACTGAGAACTGCCCACTGTTACATATACGTAACACTTTTATTATTCTCTTTATAAGTCTCCGCAAGGACATGGTATATGTTTATAAACAATTGGGGAATAAACTTTAATTACTTCTTTAAAATTTTACGTCAGAAACTTTTTTTAAAAACTAACTACATAGAAGTTATTAACATTCTTAGAATTCATTCCTCGAAAAATATGACTTTTTGCAGGTTTATGAAATAGACACTTTACAAAATAACCCAAAAATACATTCCTATAGGCAAAAATTACTCAAATTCAATTTCTAATCGTTAAGAACATGTTAAGTTAACCTATCCATCAGAAAAAGGTAACTTTGCATTTTCCATTTCTGTGCATTTCGAGTCCAAATTCGAATTAATTTGCGTTACGTATATGTAACTGTGGGCATTAATGGGTTAAGATAAGTTAAACTTGATACCTTGAATGCATTAACATTTTCCAAGAATCATTAATTTTTATATAAATATGCATATGTACATTAGGGTGTCCCGTGGACTACCTAATAGGAGGAGTACCTCCAAAACGATGCGTTTCAATGTACTAAATACGAGAAAAATAAAAACCAATTTCTTAAAAAGGTCCTCAGTTCCCCCAATTGCGTTTGAAAATCTTGTTTAAAATTACTTTTTTCGTAATTAGCTCAAAATTACGGAATTTTTGAGACCCGTTTCGAAAAAATCATAAATATTTTATTTTTCAAAAATTATACTGAGGTCAGGATTTTCAATCGCTGGTAGGGAACTTAAGGACTATTCCAAAAAAAATATATTTTTTTCGTGTTCAGTACATTAATACGCATCGATTGAGTGGTATTCCTACATGAAACTCTTAAAAAGGCTGTTTCTCGGGGCACTCTAATAAGCATATTGCTTAAAATTCGGGTATTTATCCGTTATTCTGCTTTCAACAAAGTTATCATTCTAAGGTTTTAAGTAGAATGGATGTTAGAAAACATTTTTTAATATTTTCATTAATCATAAATACCCAGCAAAAACTGAGTAATGGCTTGTACTTACATAACCATTTACTTTGCAATATCTACTACTTACCGTCTACATTACTTTAAAGTACTCTTATAATGATAAGTAAGTACTAGCAACTGTTTTTCACACACATACACACAGAAAGAAAATAGCTTAAATCTTATTTAAAATTACTTTTTTCGTAATTAGCTCAAAATTACGGAATTTTTGAGACCCGTTTCGAAAAAATCATAAATATTTTATTTTTCAAAAATTATACTGAGGTCAGGATTTTCAATCGCTGGTAGGGAACTTAAGGACTATTCCAAAAAAAATATATTTTTTTTATTTTTTTCGTGTTCAGTACATTAATACGCATCGATTGAGTGGTATTCCTACATGAAACTCTTAAAAAGGCTGTTTCTCGGGGCACTCTAATAAGCATATTGCTTAAAATTCGGGTATTTATCCGTTATTCTGCTTTCAACAAAGTTATCATTCTAAGGTTTTAAGTAGAATGGATGTTAGAAAACATTTTTTAATATTTTCATTAATCATAAATACCCAGCAAAAACTGAGTAATGGCTTGTACTTACATAACCATTTACTTTGCAATATCTACTACTTACCGTCTACATTACTTTAAAGTACTCTTATAATGATAAGTAAGTACTAGCAACTGTTTTTCACACACACACACACAGAAAGAAAATAGCTTTTGGTTAAAACCATTATTGGACGCACAATAAAAGAACTAAGAAGTGGTGTTGTGAGTAAGTGAGAGAACTAACCAACAAGAAGCCCAGGTTCGTATTCTGTGTGAACAATTTTTTTATTTTTAAAACGAAATAACTTTTTAACTCCTTATTTGTAAGTACTTATGTAAGTAGTGTTTGTAAATATGTTAAAAAATAATGAGTTAAAATACTAATGAATAAGTAGTTAAAACCGGCTATTTTCTGATTTTTTACCCATTACTTTACAATGTAAGTTTTGCTGGGTATACATAGACAAATTTCTTAAATAATGAGTATTTTCATTGAAATATTCTTTCAATTTTGATACTTAGTATCGATTAACATTGAAATAATCATGATTAACAATTTTTCCTTGAATATTTGATTCATTTGAAAAAGTACTCATTATTTATGAAGACTTTATGGATAGTATGTATCTTTCTTTGAAGCTTTTTTCCAGAATTGATGAACATAAGACCATGAACGTTAGACCAGGCATGAAATTCCTAGAAAGGAAGTATAAATTTACAATTTTGAATGATAATTTAATGTTGAATTTTGTATAGGCATAAAACTCTTTAAATAACATACTTTTTTTTTTAAACACAAAATATTTTTTGTGTTAAGAATATGCGGAAAGAATCCTTTTATTTCCTTGTAATATAATATTGACATTTAATAAAATCAAATACTTATTTAAGTAAAATATAAATGTCTCTTGCTGTGACCAGCAAATTAACTGGTCAAATATTTATTTTAATATTTTTTATATATATATTTTGTTTTTTGCTTTTATCAAGAAACGAAAATATTTAGAAAGAAATTTGCTGCTAGGCTTTTTATACTTACTTATTGTCGGTATTTGTATTATTTTCTTATATGGCCTGAAACCTTATCAAACAATTTCATTTTTGACACTAAGCTGTCTCGTATTTTGTTATCTGTATTTTCTCTTTAACACAAAAATTAACAATTTGTTTTGTTTTTATTTTTATCCCCTTTTTCAACAAATAGCAGAGGCAATTTTTTATTGTTTTAGGACGACTTTTAAAGAAAGCCAAAAAAAAGGACGAATTTCCTTTTGACAAAATAATATAGATATGAGTATAATACTCGTCATATCAGTTGTTGTTTATATTAGTTTTTTATTGAAAAAAAAGGATTTTCTCTCAATGGTCTTTTTTTAGCATTTTTCAACTTTTTTTTTGTTATAGTCTGTTTTAAAAAAAGTATATAGGCCAATGATTTTTTATTTATTATTTATTTTATTATTATTGCATTGTATTTATTTGTATTGTAAATAGTTTAGTTTAGTTTTATTTTATATTATTTTAGGATTATATAAATAGGCATTATATTATTGTAAAACAAATATGTTAAAAAAAAACAGCAAACACGTGTGTAATTAAATTTTATTGTGTATTTTCTTTCAACAATATAGCACTACAATCGAATACGATTATAATGAATAGAAAAGATTTATATAATATCCCAACAATAACTTGGTAATGACTTGTAAGTACCTACACAAAAACTTACTTTTCAATGACTACTACATATTGTCGGCATTACTGTAATAATGACTTAGATATACATACATAATCATATACTACATATACACGTATGTACATATGTGCGTTAAAGAATACAATTTTTAACTACTTATATGTAATGACTTATTTAAGCACTTATTTGTAAGCGAGCATGTTATATACTGACCTGCAATAACATCGCCGTGTTAAAATGAGTTAAATTTTTAATATAAGTTTTTGTTGGGATACTACTAAAATACACTCACAAGGTTATTTACAATGTTGTAGTCGAATAGCAATCGAGCTTTTGTTTTTCCTGAAATTTATAATAAGTAGTTTTTAAATTTATTTTACTATATTTGCTTGACTTTATTATTGCAGCTTAATTAAAAATACATTTAAATAGTAAACAACTGTAAGTTCTTC